TTTAGGCAGTAAAAGCTATTTCCTCGTTCTCCAGGTCAGCAATTTCTCCAGCTTTGAATGGGATTGTTATTGTGGAGCAATATTCCTAGAGAGCAGTAGTGTCTTAAAAAGTATCATTGGTATGGCATCTTTTGCTTGAAAGGGTTGTTATCCAACCTGTCTCTTGCAGCAATGACAGCTACTTTATTTTACTGTGTTCATTAAATGTTAAATCTTCCAACATTACTACTACCAAATCTTTTACTGTATATTTCTTTTTGGTTCTATAGTGTGATTTGACTGCAGTTTTATATATGGCTTCCATTTTTATATTTTCTGTGGCCTATTGAAAGGCCTGATTTACATCAGTTTGGTTCTTTTCTGTGTCCTCTATAGCAGGCATGTCAAACTGAGGGTCCCCAGAGAGCCATATGGGTCACATTTATGTTATCATGAGGGCCACACATGACAACTAATTGAAGTCATTTAATACAAATTATTGCAGAATATTTTTTTCTATTTTATTATATTATATACCAAATTACAGTACCCTTTTTGCAGGCTGCGTGTGCTTGCAAAAGGTCACATGTTAAACATGCCTGCTCTATAGTGTCTACTCTCATCAACATCCTAGCATTACCTGCAAAGGATGATACGGTCCTAGAGTTTATCTCGTCTATACCTGATACAATGAGAAAAAGAACTGGATCAAGCACAATACCTTGGGGGACTGAACTTTCCACAGTGGATGATATGGATTAGGATTATACTTTGTTGACTATTACACACAGGGTTATGTTCATTTGGAAATTAAAGATCCATCTCCCTATTTTGCCAGCAATTCCTTGTGTGCGCACTAACATCATGGTAACACTTGTCAAAATCTTTATGAACTGTGTGTACATTACATCAGCGTTTTACTTGTTTTCTATGGCAGATAAGGCCATGTCATAATGGTCTAGCAATTGAGTGTCAGGAATGCCCTGTTCTGAGCTCATATTGTGCAGCGTTATGTAGATGCTGTGACTCTAATGTGTTTTGTGATCTTACGTCTTAACACTCTTATTCAAAGATTTTTATGATGTGATGTTACTGCTGTCTATAATGTTTTCCCTCCATTTTATTTCCTCCTTTGTGGAGTAGAACAATCTCCAGTGTTTATGTTGGGATAACACTGGAATCTTGGCTTCATCTCCAAATATTGTTAAGCACCTGTGATAGTGGTTTATTGCAATTCCTGATGAATATGGATTTTCCAGGAATCTGGGCAAGGTACAGAGTGCATAGGCATACTGTCTATAGATACTTCAAATCTAGTGGGGTTCAGGTGATATCTGATGTATGATGTGATGTTGACATCACATTCATGAAAAATTTGCTTGAATTATCAATATTCGGTGTGTTCAGGGGTTCACTGAAACCAATCCTACTGTATCCTCAGTATTCCACTAATTTCTTTGTTGTTATCTGTGAGTTTCATCTTCCTTTGAGTTCAATTGTTTCTATTTCTCTACCTAACCTTCTTCGTCGTTCTTGAGTTAGGGGTGTGACTCAAGTTGTTCCGCTATTCGTTTTCTAAACGCCTATAGAGGGAACGCCGTTCCCGTTCCAATATGCATCTCTTCCTTTTTTTTCGTAGGGGTATGCGGTTTGAGCATATTTTTAGTGCAGCTGAGCTTATTTTCTCCAGGCACTGCTTCAGGTTTGCATTTTCAAGTTGTTCTTCCCAGCTTATTTCTGCGAGTCTTGGTTTATTTGCTCCCAGTTAATCTGTTTATTATTAAATAATACGTTACATTACAACCATTTATATTGGAGTACAGAGCCTTATGAAACAATCGGCCCCAGCTCTGGATAAAGAGTCGCCAGTCTTCAAGACTGGAAAATTGATTCCACTGTTCTATTGAAATAATAATTCCATATACATTTAATACCTATAAATAAGTTTAATTAATTTAATTGACCAAGTTATTAAATCGTGCACCGTACGGGGGCCACAAGTCACTGGGAAGAGATGGGCAGACGGAATGGGCAGACGGAATGGGCAGACGGGATGGGCAGACAGGGATGGGCAGACAGGGATGGGCAGACGGAATGGGCAGACGGGATGGGCAGACAGGGATGGGCAGACGGAATGGGCAGACGGGATGGGCAGACGGGATGGGCAGACGGGATGGGCAGACGGGATGGGCAGACAGGGATGGGCAGACGGAATGGGCAGACGGGATGGGCAGACAGGGATGGGCAGACAGGGATGGGCAGACGGGATGGGCAGACAGGGATGGGCAGACGGAATGGGCAGACAGGGATGGGCAGACGGAATGGGCAGACGGAATGGGCAGACGGGATGGGCAGACAGGGATGGGCAGACAGGGATGGGCAGACGGGATGGGCAGACAGGGATGGGCAGACAGGGATGGGCAGACAGGGATAGGCAGACAGGGATGGGCAGACGGAATGGGCAGACAGGGATGGGCAGACAGGGATGGGCAGACAGGGATGGGCAGACAGGGATAGGCAGACAGGGATGGGCAGACGGAATGGGCAGACAGGGATGGGCAGACGGGATGGGCAGACGGAATGGGCAGACAGGGATGGGCAGACGGAATGGGCAGACGGGATGGGCAGACAGGGATGGGCAGACAGGGATGGGCAGATAGGGATGGGCAGACAGGGATGGGCAGACGGAATGGGCAGACAGGGATGGGCAGACAGGGATGGGCAGACAGGGATGGGCAGACAGGGATGGGCAGACAGGGATAGGCAGACAGGGATGGGCAGACGGAATGGGCAGACAGGGATGGGCAGACAGGGATGGGCAGACAGGGATGGGCAGACGGAATGGGCAGACAGGGATGGGCAGACAGGGATGGGCAGACAGGGATGGGCAGACAGGGATGGGCAGACGGGATGGGAAGACGGGATGGGCAGACGGGATGGGCAGACGGGATGGGCAGACAGGGATGGGCAGACAGGGATGGGCAGACGGAATGGGCAGACAGGGATGGGCAGACGGGATGGGCAGACAGGGATGGGCAGACGGAATAGGCAGACAGGGATGGGCAGACGGAATGGGCAGACGGGATGGGCAGACAGGGATGGGCAGACAGGGATGGGCAGACGGGATGGGCAGACAGGGATGGGCAGACAGGGATGGGCAGACAGGGATAGGCAGACAGGGATAGGCAGACAGGGATGGGCAGACGGAATGGGCAGACAGGGATGGGCAGACAGGGATGGGCAGACAGGGATGGGCAGACGGAATGGGCAGACAGGGATGGGCAGACAGGGATGGGCAGACAGGGATGGGCAGACGGAATGGGCAGACGGAATGGGCAGACAGGGATGGGCAGACAGGGATGGGCAGACAGGGATGGGCAGACAGGGATGGGCAGACGGAATGGGCAGACGGGATGGGCAGACAGGGATGGGCAGACGGAATGGGCAGACGGGATGGGCAGACAGGGATGGGCAGACAGGGATGGGCAGACGGGATGGGAAGACAGGGATGGGCAGACAGGGATGGGCAGACAGGGATGGGAAGACGGGATGGGCAGACGGGATGGGCAGACGGGATGGGCAGACGGGATGGGAAGACGGGATGGGAAGACGGGATGGGCAGACGGGATGGGAAGACGGGATGGGAAGACGGGATGGGCAGACGGGATGGGAAGACGGGATGGGCAGACGGGATGGGCAGACGGGATGGGAAGACGGGATGGGCAGACGGGATGGGAAGACGGGATGGGCAGACGGGATGGGAAGACGGGATGGGCAGACGGGATGGGCAGACGGGATGGGCAGACGGGATGGGCAGACGGGATGGGAAGACGGGATGGGCAGACGGGATGGGCAGACGGGATGGGCAGACGGGATGGGCAGACGGGATGGGCAGACGGGATGGGCAGACGGGATGGGCAGACGGGATGGGCAGACAGGGATGGGCAGACGGGATGGGCAGACGGGATGGGCAGACAGGGATGGGCAGACGGGATGGGCAGACGGGATGGGCAGACAGGGATGGGAAGACGGGATGGGCAGACAAATACTATTGGCAGAAAAACAACAATGAGTGAGTACACATAACCCCGCACCAGTCATCTGAGGAACATATTAACGTCAACTACGTTATCTTGTGGTTATCTTGAGATAATTTCGGGGCTTAGCGTCCCCGCGGCCCGGTCCTCGACCAGGCCTCCTCCTAGAGGCCTCCTCCTCGACCATTACACTAAAATAGTGAAGGGTCAAGAGGCAACATCATTCCAACATCAATTAACATGACCAAGGGCAGGAATGGCCCCGAGTGAAAACTAGACACTGGTGAACTACCTTGAGGTTACCTTGAGGTGCTTCCGGGGCTTAGCGTCCCCGCGGCCCGGTCGTCGACCAGGCCTCCTCTAATACTATTGGAATATAAAAACAAAACTGTTTTAATTTAATGTACGTTTGGTGAGCAAGTGGAAGGAGTTACGAGGGAAGGTAGTTGATACGAGCTCTACATAGTTGTGAAGGTATTATACGGTCTGGAGACTGGAGGAAGTGATGTAGGCGACTGACAGGCGGGGTCCAGGGGCCAGATTCACGAAAGCACTTACGCAAGCACTTACGAACGTGTACATCTTTCCTCAATCTCTGACGGCTTTGGTTACATTTATTTAAAAAATTACAAGCATGAAAACTTCCCATTCAAGTGTTGTTATTGTTATAAACAGCCTCCTGGTGCTTCGGAACTCATTAGCTGTATAATAATTGGAAACAAAGCCGCCAAAGATTGAGAAAAGATGTACAGGTTCGTAAGTGTTTGCGTAATTGCTTTCGTGAATCTGGCCCCAGGAAGTTACAGTGTGTGTCAGTATTGAAGCAAGCTTTATAACTTTGTATGACAAACTTTAGACGCGGGTTAGCGCAAACTTACTTCTCATCCCGTTACAACACACACACACACACACACACACACACACACACACACACACACACACACACACACACACACACACACACACACACACACACACACACACCTGGAGAAGTCGTGCATAGAGAGGTCGTTGATGAAGAGGCCGGCGTAGATGAGGGAGTCGAGGTCCTTCATGACGGGCGTTCCCAGGAAGAGGATCAGCTTCCACTCCTCCATGTGCATCATCTGACCTGCGGGCGACACCCAGACCTGCCGTCAGTAACGGAGGGAGAGAGGGAGGGAGAGAGAGAGAGAGAGAGAGAGAGAGAGAGAGAGAGAGAGAGAGAGAGAGAGAGAGAGAGAGAGAGAGAGAGAGAGAGAGAGAGAGAGAGAGAGAGAGTTATCAGGGGGAAAGCGAAGCCATTACGACTACAGCACTTGGAAGGGGTCAAGACAAGGAATTTGGATGGGACAAGGACAAATAAATGATGGCCCAACCACTTAGACAGTCGGGGATTGAGCCCCAACCTGCATGAAGCGAGACCATCGCCCTACCGTCCACCTCCAAGTGGTTGGCCAGAGAGAGAGACAGAAATAGAAACTTGAGTTTGTGACAGAGCGTTTGACAGGTATACAGGAAAGAGACAAACATACACAGACAGAAATACAGAATAATTGTAAGTGAGGAACTCTGGTACACATGACACGAGTTTTAATTAACACGAAGAACCGGATCATGTGTGGATACGAAGCCTTAGACAACCGTTCGTGTTGCTTAGCCTTAGACACCTCATCATGGGAAGAAGAAGAAGAGAGGAAACATGATTCTTCTGGTAGACAGCATTATTATAAAACATTATTAATCAATTTATTAAAATTATCTGATTAAATCAACTGGTTAAAAAGCTGATACTGTTTACAAAGCATACTACTAGATACGTGGAGAATATGGCAGAATACGCTAGGGAGTCATATACATGGCAAATAAAAACATATAAAATTATAGATAATTTGAACTCCCTGTGGCCAAGGGCCATCATAACAAGCTTGATCAACAATGACATTGTAGCTTGCACCTTTGATCAACAATGACATTGTAGCTTGCACCTTTGATCAACAATGACATTGTAGCTTGCACCTTTGATCAACAATGACATTGTAGCTTGCACCTTTGATCAACAATGACATTGTAGCTTGCACCTTTGATCAACAATGACATTGTAGCTTGCACCTTTGATCAACAATGACATTGTAGCTTGCACCTTTGATCAACAATGACATTGTAGCTTGCACCTTTGATCAACAATGACATTGTAGCTTGCACCTTTGATCAACAATGACATTGTAGCTTGCACCTTTGATTAGCTAGGAGAGGTAAATCAAAATTTACCTAATAAAACAAGAGGTGTGACGACACCACAAAGGCCTGAAAGCACACCTGAAATGCTGGGCAGTGTAGCTGCCAAGGGTACCTTTGGGCAGTGTAGCTGCCAAGGGTACCTTTGGGCAGTGTAGCTGCCAAGGGTACCTTTGGGCAGTGTAGCTGCCAAGGGTACCTTTGGGCAGTGTAGCTGCCAAGCGTACCTTTCGACAGTGTAGCCGCCAAGCGTACCTTTGGGCAGTGTAGCCGCCAAGCATACCTTTGGGCAATGTAGCTGCCAAACTTACCTTTGAGCCTGAAGGATTTATCTTGAATGTCGTCCTCGGATATGGTGAGAGTGCCCCCGTGGAGCTCACCATTCAGTCGCTTCTTGTTCTGGAACTTGGTGGTGGACGTGGCCAGCTCGAAGATGTTGTTGGTACGCTTGAGGATCTGCCGGAGGAGCGCACCGTTACCCTGTGTTAGTAGTAGTGGTCTCAGGTCCCTACACGGCCAACCTCTCCCCGCTGGTCACCGACCAACCGCTGGACGGTAGAGCGTCATGCAGGTCGGCGTTCCATCCCCCCCCCCCCCCCCGACGGCCCAAATGGTTGGGCACCATTCTTTCCCCCCCCGTCCCATCCCAAATCCTTATCCTGACCCCTTCCCAGTGCTATATTGTCGTAATGGCTTATTGGTGCTTTCACCCCTGACAGTTCCCTTTCCGCCGGTCACTACTCGTCTCGAGAAATATTGACGTCACATCGTTAGCTAGAAATCCCTCGCCTACATATTAGTAACTATTCGTACGTGTTATATTTAGTCAGACGATGTAGCAATATTGATCTAAATGGTGACTGTGATCTCTTGTGTTCAACACTACACACTGACCACCACCTGCTGTACACAACACTACACACTGACCACCACCTGCTGTACACAACACTACACACTGACCACCACCTGCTGTACACAACACTACACACTGACCACCACCTGCTGTACACAACACTACACACTGACCACCACCTGCTGTACATAACACTACACACACTGACCACCACCTGCTGTACACAACACTACACACTGACCACCCACCTGCTGTACACAACACTACACACTGACCACCACCTGCTGTACACAACACTACACACTGACCACCCACCTGCTGTACACAACACTACACACTGACCACCACCTGCTGTACACAACACTACACACTGACCACCCACCTGCTGTACACAACACTACACACTGACCACCCACCTGCTGTACACAACACTACACACTGACCACCACCTGCTGTACACAACACTACACACACTGACCACCACCTGCTGTACACAACACTACACACTGACCACCACCTGCTGTACACAACACTACACACTGACCACCCACCTGCTGTACACAACACTACACACTGACCACCACCTGCTGTACACAACACTACACACTGACCACCACCTGCTGTACACAACACTACACACTGACCACCACCTGCTGTACACAACACTACACACTGACCACCACCTGCTGTACACAACACTACACACTGACCACCACCTGCTGTACATAACACTACACACACTGACCACCACCTGCTGTACACAACACTACACACTGACCACCCACCTGCTGTACACAACACTACACACTGACCACCACCTGCTGTACACAACACTACACACTGACCACCCACCTGCTGTACACAACACTACACACTGACCACCACCTGCTGTACACAACACTACACACTGACCACCCACCTGCTGTACACAACACTACACACTGACCACCCACCTGCTGTACACAACACTACACACTGACCACCACCTGCTGTACACAACACTACACACACTGACCACCACCTGCTGTACACAACACTACACACTGACCACCACCTGCTGTACACAACACTACACACTGACCACCCACCTGCTGTACACAACACTACACACTGACCACCACCTGCTGTGGGTGGTCGGGTGACGGGGGGGGGGGATTATGTAAGGGGAGAATGATAATGCGGAACAGACATGAAACAGGAATGGTGCCAACTAAGGATTAAAAATGGGGCTGAAGAAGAAGAGGAGCCAGTGAGAGGCAACGCGGTACAGCGTGCCTGAAACGCGGGAAAAGTGGCGCGCGAGGACGCCCCGCTCCCAGGCTTGGAACTTACGCTGTAGAACTCGAAGTCGACGTGAGGTCTGGTGATGTCGAACCAGTCGGTGAGTCGCTTCCCCACCAGCTCCGGCATGATCTGCATCATGCTGTTGCCGATCTGCTTCACCTCCAGCGTCGTCCTGCAGACAGGTCAACACAGGTCACCACAGGTCAACACCATACTCTCACACTATTCATCATCAAGGTTAGGTGCTGTCATTCATCGGTCACGGAGAGAGAGAGAGAGAGAGAGAGAGAGAGAGAGAGAGAGAGAGAGAGAGAGAGAGAGAGAGAGAGAGAGAGAGAGAGAGAGAGAGAGAGAGAGAGAGAGAGAGAGGGGGAGTGAGAGAATGTTAGCTGCTACTCTGAAACAAATACACATCATCGTTGCCAACCTGATTTAGCAGAGAGACAAGGGGGGAGAATTATTATACTACAATAACAAGCGTAAAGCCACTAATATTCAACGGATCCTGGCCCTCAAGGTAGTATCATTCAGGGGTCAAGTACTATCATTCAGGGGTCAGGTACTATCATTCAGGGGTCAGGTACTATCATTCAGGGGTCACGTACTATCATTCAGGGGTCAGGTACTATCATTCAGGGGTCAGGTACTATCATTCAGGGGTCACGTACTATCATTCAGGGGTCAGGTACTATCATTCAGGGGTCACGTACTATCATTCAGGGGTCAGGTACTATCATTCAGGGGTCACGTACTATCATTCAGGGGTCAGGTACTATCATTCAGGGGTCACGTACTATCATTCAGGGGTCAGATACTATCATTCAGGGGTCAGGTACTATCATTCAGGGGTCACGTACTATCATTCAGGGGTCAGCTACTATCATTCAGGGGTCACGTACTATCATTCAGGGGTCAGCTACTATCATTCAGGGGTCAGGTACTCTCATTCAGGGGTCACGTACTATCATTCAGGGGTCAGCTACTATCATTCAGGGGTCACGTACTATCATTCAGGGGTCACGTACTATCATTCAGGGGTCAGCTACTATCATTCAGGGGTCACGTACTATCATTCAGGGGTCACGTACTATCATTCAGGGGTCAGATACTATCATTCAGGGGTCAGGTACTCTCATTCAGGGGTCAGCTACTATCATTCAGGGGTCAGGTACTCTCATTCAGGGGTCAGCTACTATCATTCAGGGGTGAGCTACTATCATTCAGGGGTGAGCTACTATCATTCAGGGGGCAGCTACTATCATTCAGGGGTGAGCTACTATCATTCAGGGGTGAGCTACTATCATTCAGGGGTGAGCTACTATCATTCAGGGGTGAGCTACTATCATTCAGGGGTCAGCTACTATCATTCAGGGGTGAGCTACTATCATTCAGGGGTCAGCTACTATCATTCAAAGGTCAGCTACTATCATTCAAGAGTTCGGTACTCTCATCAATCGATTGGGAATCGAGAAATCCCCCACGGTGGAGAATTAACTCCCAGGACCGAAGTTAGTGGAAGTGGTGGACAGAAACTTCTTAAGACGTATACAGCAAGTTAAGGATGACACCGGAGAAATGGGATAAGATACACCAAGCCTCTTATTGGACCTGATCTTCCCCCGGACCGAGGAAGACATCGAGAAATTGGAGCACGAAATACCACTGGGACTCGTTGACCATTGTGTCCTGGGACGCACTGACCATTGTGTCCTGGGACGCACTGACCATTGTGTCCTGGAGACTCAGTGACCATTGTGTCCTGAGACTCGCTGACCATTGTGTCCTGGGACTCAGTGACCATTGTGTCCTGAGACTCGCTGACCATTGTGTCCTGGGACTCACTGACCATTGTGTCCTGGGACTCACTGACCATTGTGTCCTGGGACTCAGTGACCATTGTGTCCTGGGACTCACTGACCATTATGTCCTGGGACTCACTGACCATTGTGTCCTGGGACTCACTGACCATTGTGTCCTGGGACTCAGTGACCATTGTGTCCTGGGACTCACTGACCATTATGTCCTGGGACTCACTGACCATTGTGTCCTGGGACTCACTGACCATTGTGTCCTGGGACTCACTGACCATTATGTCCTGGGACTCACTGACCATTGTGTCCTGGGACTCACTGACCATTGTGTCCTGGGACTCACTGACCATTATATCCTGGGACTCAGTGACCATTGTGTCCTGGGACTCACTGACCATTGTGTCCTAGGACTCAGTGACCATTGTGTCCTGGGACTCAGTGACCATTGTGTCCTGGGACTCAGTGACCATTGTGTCCTAGGACTCACTGACCATTGTGTCCTGGGACTCACTGACCATTATGTCCTGGGACTCACTGACCATTGTTTCCTGGGACTCACTGACCATTGTGTCCTGGGACTCACTGACCATTGTGTCCTGGGACTCACTGACCATTGTGTCCTGGGACTCACTGACCATTGTGTCCTGGGACTCACTGACCATTGTGTCCTGGGACTCACTGACCATTGTGTCCTGGGACTCACTGACCATTGTGTCCTGGGACTCACTGACCATTATGTCCTGGGACTCACTGACCATTGTGTCCTGGGACTCACTGACCATTGTGTCCTGGGACTCACTGACCATTATATCCTGGGACTCACTGACCATTGTGTCCTGGGACTCACTGACCATTGTTTCCTGGGACTCACTGACCATTGTGTCCTGGGACTCACTGACCATTGTGTCCTGGGACTCACTGACCATTATGTCCTGGGACTCAGTGACCATTGTGTCCTGGGACTCAGTGACCATTGTGTCCTAGGACTCACTGACCATTGTGTCCTGGGACTCACTGACCATTATGTCCTGGGACTCACTGACCATTGTTTCCTGGGACTCACTGACCATTGTGTCCTGGGACTCACTGACCATTGTGTCCTGGGACTCACTGACCATTGTGTCCTGGGACTCAGTGACCATTGTGTCCTGGGACTCACTGACCATTGTGTCCTGGGACTCACTGACCATTGTGTCCTGGGACTCACTGACCATTGTGTCCTGGGACTCACTGACCATTATGTCCTGGGACTCACTGACCATTGTGTCCTGGGACTCACTGACCATTGTGTCCTGGGACTCACTGACCATTATATCCTGGGACTCACTGACCATTGTGTCCTGGGACTCACTGACCATTGTGTCCTGGGACTCACTGACCATTGTGTCCTGGGACTTAGTGACCATTGTGTCCTGGGACTCACTGACCATTGTGTCCTGGGACTCACTGACCATTGTGTCCTGGGACTCACTGACCATTGTGTCCTGGGACTCACTGACCATTGTGTCCTGGGACTCACTGACCATTGTGTCCTGGGACTCACTGACCATTGTGTCCTGGGACTCAGTGACCATTGTGTCCTGGGACTCAGTGACCATTGTGTCCTGGGACTCAGTGACCATTGTGTCCTGGGACTCACTGACCATTGTGTCCTGGGACTCAGTGACCATTGTGTCCTGGGACTCACTGACCATTGTGTCCTGGGACTCACTGACCATTGTGTCCTGGGACTCAGTGACCATTGTGTCCTGGGACTCAGTGACCATTGTGTCCTGGTGGTATTTGACTTCATGAGCTAACTTAAACCATCGACAAGGCGGCATGTGGGCAGGGAAAGGAGAGTAGACTATAGCAAGGGGGATTACATGAAAGAATCTGGAAAGAATGCAACTGGAGGAAGAACTTCGAGGGCAGACAGTTAGTGTAAACAATGGACCAAGTCAAACTGAGATGCAAGAGGCGGAAAAAAAGATTCATGCCAGCAATAAGGGAAACAAATAGGAGAGAACCCGTTGTTCAACAGACAGTACCAAGAACCAGAAGGAAGAGAGAATATAATAACCAGAGGCTCAATAGACAGTGCTAAGAAGCAGACGGAGGAGAGAGAATATCGTTAGTTCTAATAATCTGAGGCTCAATAGATAGTGCCAAGACACAGGAGGTGAATATACAGTACAGGAAATTGTAAAGAAATTTGCCAGGACTCTCGTCAGCTTGCAGGGAGTGTTGACAACAGAGCTTGAACAGCCCTCAACGCTACAGAAGGAGGTGACTCTCGTCAGCTTGCAGGGAGTGTTGACAACAGAGCTTGAACAGCCC